AAATTGTTATTTATTGTGGTAAAAAAGATATTATATCTACCATCTTAACCATTTTTAAGTGTACAGTTCAGTGAAGTATATTCACATTGTCGTGAATCAGCTCCACAGAACTTTTTCATCTTGCAAAACTGAAATTCTCTACCCACTAAGCAACAGTTCTTCATTTCTGCCTCCTCCCAGGCCCTGGCAAACATCTTCCACTTCCTGTTTCTATGAATTTAACAACTCTGGATACCACATTTAAGTGGAATCATACAGTACTTGTATTTTTGTGACTGGCTTATTTCACTTAGCATAATATCCTCAGGGTTCATTCATGTTGTAGCATGTGATGGGATTTCCTTTCTTTTTAGGCTAACTGATATTTCATTGTATGTATCTACCACATTTTCTTTATTCACTCATGCATCATGAAGCACACATGCTACCTTTCTGAAACAAATATTTTGTATTTCTCCCTTTACTGTCTAAATAAATTGATATACCTAATTTGAAAAAAATATAAACTCTAAATATAATGTGAAGGAAAAATAAAAGGAAATAAATATTAAAATAAGAAAATGTATTTCAGTTAATTACTGACTATACTAGAAGACAAATCAAGTAGTGAGATGCTTTCACCTACATGCAGAATTTCCATAAGTGCAACAATTAAAAATGCACACTGATATGGGAGTATTAAGTTAACTGAATTAATTCAAATTCCCTGAGTTTCCAATAGTGATGTCATTTTTCCAAAATGGTGGACAGTTCTTGGTAATACAGTTCCAATCAAAATAAATATATGGTAGTTGTATTTCTGAAAAATTTAACATCATGAAGAAATATTTTGTGTTTATATATAAAAAGGAGTTAGGTTCTAGGCTAAGGTTATTATAAACAGTTTTCGCCTACGTAAATGTCTGGAGACCATTCAAAAGTTGAACAAGATGCAGGACAATTTACTGCATATAAACTGTCCAGGCTACTTGCAAGATATGTATGTCTGGACCCTGCCCACCAAATGCCAATAATGCCACCACGTTATTATGACATCAAAAAATACATATACACACCCTTATTACAAAAATGTCCTTGATGGGGCAGTACCATATTCATTGAGACCCACTGGACAGTGGCATCAGGGGATGGCATAAGCTGAATTCTGAAGAACTTCTAGGAATTAGCCAAGTGCATACTAAGTGCTCAACAATTATTTGTCAAATGAATGAATAAAGCATGGTTTTTCATTTCTATTCACATT